CAGAGCTTCACAAGCACAGATTCTGCTTGGTGACTTTGACTCATTGGTAGTGGCTGGGGTGGTGGAGAACTCGGTCTAACCGGAAATGGGACAGCTTAGCCCAGCGATCCCAGGGCATGAGAAGCCCTGGGCTCCAGTGTAAGCTGCGTGCATGCTGGCTGCTTTGCAGTCTCAAGAGGTGACTTAGGGGAAGAGGATGTTTCCTCGTCTTCATGTACGAGATGTGATTGGGAGCCGTGGTGAATATTCAAAGTTTATGAAATGTGTTACTGTAGAAGAGGTGCTGCCGTCATCCTCCTTCAGAGCTCCTCCCCCATGCTGAGCACCTGTCCCTTCTTCCTGCCACTTTCTGAAGCAGTCCGGGAAGTGCTCTTTCAAGAGTGTCTTTAGCAGATGCCTTGCTGCCCCGGATCCGTTCAAACATTGAGTGGCCCTGGTCATTTTGACTGTGGGGAGAAGCCAGAAGTCACGTGGTGCCAGGTCTGGCAATGGGGGGATGAGGACACAGCCTAGTGTTTTTATGCGCTGCCTTCCTGTCAGATGGCACAAAAATGATAGGATAAATGTGTTTGAGTCTACGAGAAGTATTGTGAAGGGAATTATGGCACCATCTTTTCACTGTCATACTTTATTTAAGTCTAAACATTCAACTTTGTTTCAAACTGTGCAGTGGCTGCGATGCACCAGGGACAGGCAGTGGCTTCCCACCCATAACAGTCCTTCCCGCAGCTGAGCAGCCTCGCCCTGCAGCCACACTGAGACCCCACAGCAGTGCGCCTTTCCCCCAGACACACGGCCCAATGGCTGGCACTCATGGTGTCCCCAGAATGTGCCACTGTCCTCTATCCTGTCCTGAGTCAGCCCTCACTGTTCCGAGGCTCACACCCAGATATGGGACGAGAACGTGTGCTGCACGCTCATTGTCGGCATCACTGTGGGCGACCCTGGCCCCAGACCCTGAGTTCTGCATTCCTCTGATTGAGCTCCCACACCCTGACCCTCACTGTGTCTATTGGAGCCCATTCTCAATCAGCTCGTACTTACTTGGAGAGACATATGTCTGAATTTATGGAGTGCACTTTAAATGAACTGGTTAAGCATGGTCGGTGTGCCTCGAGAGGCACTTCCTGCAGAGCAAGACCTGACTACTAAGAATGTTTCCATTGGAATTGTTGGTAAAGACTTAGAGTTCGCAATCTATGGTGATGATGATGATGATGTGTATCCATTCCTGGAAGGTCTTGAAGAAAGACCACAGAGAAAGGCACAGCCTGCACAGCCTGCTGATGAACCAATGGAACATTAATAAGCCAGTCTCTATGTGTATCATCAAATGTGTAAGAATGCAGGAACACATACTGATGAGAGTAATCTAAACTGTGAACCAAAAGCTGCAGTGTCTTAGGAACTAGTCCACATGCTTTTTCCAACCAACCTCTCTGAAACCCTATAATGAATTGCATTTTTCTTTAAGGGGGACTGTATAATCAGGCTGTGAATGCTTGTTTTCCCCTCACTTTGATGACTCCCCACACTACTGCCATCGGTCAGAATTGGGGTATTGGTTTTAGTCACCCTAGCACTTAAAACCGTGCCGATAAATATTTAACAATTGAAATGACAAATTCTCTTGTTAATAGGTTAGAAATAGGGGGTGAGCTACAATGATTTTCTAGACCCGGAAGATGAACGGGGAATAACTGTTCCAAAGGTGCTTTGTGTGGATCTCCTCCAGTCCCTCACAGAGCTCACAGGGCAGCAGCAGTCATAGCAGAGAGCCAGTTCTCTGGACAGCATGGTTTCTGGGTATGGTGGTCTGGAACCACTGGAGAAGAGGCTCTATAAGATGTACTTGACAATTCAGAAAAATCATAGATCTGGGGTTAATGAGCAAAGGAGTATATTTTGGAAGTGTTTTATTTGTGGCTTTCCTTATTTTTGGTTTCTACAAATCATTGACACCTTCCTCACTGGTATATGAAAAGCATCTAACCAATGTAATAAGTAGTTCACCAGCTCTATCTAGGACTGGATGCATTTTATACCCACAGGGAATTTTTGCACAAAATTTTATTCAGATTTCTACTGAGAATTAGATATTGTGTGTTATGTCTGTCACAATGCTTTGAGCAGCATATAATAGCAAAATTCTAAATGGCTTATGTAGTAAGGAAGGTTTATTGTCTAAAAAGTAAGTGGTGTAGGCTGGGGATTTAGCTCAATGGAACCATGCCTGCCTTGCAAGCTCAAGGTCCTGAGTTCAATCCCCAGTACCAAAGAAAAAAAGTGATGATGTGGTGAGGTTGCTGAAAGATTGGTTCATTCATCAGCCCACACACTGTCAGCCATTTTGTTCCCCTTGAGTTGGCCGAGGATATTCCCTTGGGGTTGCAAGATGGCTGTTAGTTTTCAGACCATACACAGCGAAGGGCTCAGAAACCCCAAACCCCTAGCTGCCCTCTCATGTCACGTTGACAAAAATTGGTCATGTGCCCACCCTAAGAAATCACTGGTAAGGAAAATAGGAGTATTAAACTGGCCTGGATATTTAAGGTTTACTCATAACTAGAGATAAGATGAGTTTCCTTAGAATCAAGTTGGAAGAGCCTTAGGATTCTCTCAACATGAAGAAGGCAAAAGGACCTTGGCTCAAGAATGGGTAACTAACTGTATCTGCTTTGAATGCTCAGCAGAAACTCAACCTCCATCTTTCCATATTACGTTGCATATCAAATCAGAGTGTCCGTGGTGCAATATCTTAATTTTGTGATTTGGGCGACTTTTTACATTAAAATTTAGCCATAATCTAGTAAAGAAAATACAAAACAGGAAACTTGAATAAGAATGAAACATCTCTGTCATTCTGTTTTACCAGTGAAAGCCAACTCCCTGTCCCCAAGTTAGAACAACTGATTTACTGCAAAGGCTTAGGTCTTTCTGTGCTGCTCAGATGTGTGTCTCTGTGACAAATATCTGTGGTGAATCAACTTGTAAGGGAGAAATATTTAATTTGGCTCATGTTTCACTCCATGGTTTCTGGGCCTTGTTCCTTCGGGCCTGTGGTGGCACAGAACATCATGGCTGGCGTCCATGGTGGGATGCTCTGTTCAGCATGGTGGCTGGGAAGCAGAGAGAGGGAGAGACAGAGCCCTGAGATCCCTTTCACAGTCGCTCCCTCAGCGGCGCACCTTTCTTCCACTAGGCCCACTTTCCAAAGCTTCCGCCACCTCCCAGTAGCGCCTCAGACTGTCGACCAGGCGTGTACCACATGGCCTAGAGTTCCACTCAGGATCTGAATATAGCATTCCTCTAGAAGCCGTTCATTTCAGATAAGAAAGTAAAAAAGGAGTCAGCCTGGGAGTACACCACAGAACAAAAGCTCTACGCCCACAGAATATTTCATTTCAAAGGCTCTGAGGCGGAAAACTGAAAATATCCAGAAGGGCTGGAGTGGCTGGCACATGGTGAGTAGAAGGAACATGGCAAGGAGAGTGGAGACAGGTGAATTTGCAGGTCCTTCAGAGCCTTGCAGGTACTGGAAAGGAATTAGGGATTCCATTCTAGGAGGAGGGAAACCACTGAAGCATTAAACAGGGTCCACTGTAAGGTAACAATAACACTATATCGAAAAGGCAACAGTATTTCTTGTCTTTTCTTTTCTTTTTTTTGGTACCGGAGATCAAACTCAGAACCTCGCACTTGCCAGGCAGGTGATGTGCCACTGAGCTAAATCCCTGACCCTATAACATGTTCTACTTCATGTAGAACTCACGGTTTTAGAGAAGCTATTTACCAGAGTCCCAATTTAACAGACGGTTGCCAAGAAGTGAACTTCACCACTTTGATTCTATGCAAAGTTGACCAGTTGTTCTAGTTGGTAGACAGATTTCATGGACAGGTCAAGCTAGTGGACTGATTTATCTTAGGGAAACTCTTAAGGCATTTTAAATAAAAGAATGTCTCTGTGTTTTCTCTTTGAAGAGCAGAAGAAAGCTCCATTTCCCATCGGGGTGAGGCTGCCCCTTAACTCCGCCGTGGCTCACTCATTTATTTCTAAATGACTTCTAGAAGTGATGCTGCTTTGGGGCATTGAGAGGCTGAGCAGGCCCATCTCCAGCATGGTGCCAGCCAGCTCCTCCCGGGGCTCCGGTGGCTGGCGTTCTCTGGGCGCACACTCACGAGGTTCTCTCTGCAATGGGATCTGCGTGGGCCCATCGCTGAGTCCTTCACATTTCATTTGCATTACTGAGCCGACATGTTCTAGAGCGCTCTCGCTGTCTTAGCAGGAGATTGGGGGGGGGCTTGTATATAGTATAAGGTTTGCTTTTGGGGGAGTTCCCTTGTCACAGTATTTGTGGAGCCCCAAGCCTCTGGAGGCCAGTGTGTTGGGAGACAGCGTTGAGCAGTGTGAGTCCGTGGTTCTGGAGCGTGCTGAGGTGAACACTTCCGAGAGGAGGCTCTGGCAGGAGGTGGCGTAGAGCTAAGCCATAAGGACCTCTGCCTGGCCCAGTGAGACAGAGGGTACAGCATTCCGGAAGGGGTGAGAGTCCGGCTACAGGAGCCCAGTGCAAGGAAGGCGACAGCTGGCTTCAACAGGTGAATGGGTTTACAGGGAGGAGAGGAGAGCTATGGGCTTGGAGAGTGACTGGACAGAGGGCAGAACTGAGATGCTTCCGAGTGGGCAGCTCCCCGGTGAAGAGTTAAGGTGGAACACAAAGCTCACAGCCTGGTGGGTCTTGCCCTGGACCCGTGCCCCTCCTCGTGACCCCGTCCTGGTGAAGGGTGAGTGTGTCATGCGTGGTCTTCAGAACAAGGCACTGAGAACTGGGTTTCCTCTTGTTCACAGGTCACATGAAGATGGTTCAGTTAAATATGAATTACTGTGATTCTTCTGTGCCTGTTGCTGGCCGATGATCAAGCCCACTCTTCTAAGTGTGGTTAACACCGGAGGAGAAATGACTTCCCTAACCGTTGTTATCTTTTCTCTCTTTGACATGAAGTATTTTCGGTGCTCTTCGAACTGGTGCTTACATGGTGTACATTCTGATGACCAAAGGCCTGAAGCAGTCAGTGTGTGACCAGGGTTTCTACAACGGGCCCGTCAGCAAGTTCTGGGCGTACGCATTTGTGCTAAGCAAAGCGCCAGAGCTAGGTGAGTGTCTCCTCCCCGCTCCTCCCAACCACCACTCCGTGTTCATTTAAAAGTGCATGAAGCAGTAGCTTGCAGGTCTTACAGTGTTGGTTGCAGGAAGTTATAATTAATGCACTTAGGGTTTGCCCTCTCCTTTTCTCCCTCCCACCCTTATAAATAACTGTGCACTGTGGGTAATAACAGCAGAGTTTACAGAGCATGCTGATTTCCAAGCGCTGCCACAGATGCACTGCCGGGGTTTATAAAATGAACGCGGCCCTCTGCTAAGCTTCTTTAACAGCTGTGCTAATAGTAGAGCAACCCGGCTATTTCCAAGTCCTATGTCTAAGCCTGCTTTCACCCTTAGAGCTGAGATTCAGATCAGCAAATTGAGCTTTCGTTTCGGTGTCCTTGTGTTCTCATTATCAAAGGCTAATTGTGAGTTTCTGCACTGTTTAACCATCAGTGATGCTGGCCCTGAGGAAAGGCATTGTAGTTCACCTTCTCACAGTTAACATAAAGATTCTGACTGAATGTGCCTGTAGATTTCTAGGGATTTTCACAGCCAGTGCCACTGCAGGACATGATTCCCAACTGCTGTGTTTGTCAGCAGCCAGCTGCCTCCAGTAGCCAGCAGTTGGCTTGACAGTTGTCATCCCAGGTCAAAGTCAAGAGCAGAGGAGCAGCAGAAAACTTCTTCTAAAACCTCTAGTGGCTGAGTGTGGTGGCGTCCACTTATAGTCCAGAACTTGGGGGGCTGAGGGAGAGGCGCATCATGAGTTTGGAGGAGCTGGACTGCGTGGAGAGGTGCAAGGCTTTCCTGAGAGGGGACCGTGGGTGACTTGTGTGGGGCCATCACACGTGGCATCTTTGACAACAGTCTTGGATTAAAACGCACTAGTGCAGATTCATTTATCCAGTGAGTGTATTTATTTACATTAAACTCTGCCGTGGGCCAGACAATTCAGTGGCTGCTTTACCGACAAGAATTTTATAATGTGAATTGCTTTGGATTGGGCTTCCAGAAGCTATTTTATTGTTCTGAGACCAGTAGGCACAAAGTCTTAGGCTAGAGAAATAATTTTCAAACTTGGACATACAGACAGTTCTTCAAAAGCTGTGGGTGTGCTTTTAGGGATTAGCTAATTATCTGAGAATATTGTCATTTTGTATCGTCACTTGTAGATAAAAAAGAGATTTTTCTTGCTAGGCATATTTCTTTTATAGTGACCTGTTTTTAAAAAATCAGATTCATGCATTTTCTGAATCAGAATTCTTATTCTAAAAGTTGGTTTGAGAGAATGTGAGCTTACAATTCTTTTTTTTTTTTTTTTTAATCACTGAGTTTATTGGTACATTTTAGGTACACAGTACAGTTACATTCATCATTGGGATCTTGTACCTTTACATGCCAGGTCTTGGTTCTCACTTTTTCCCCGTCCCTAGTAAACTTACATTCTTCACACCTGGGGTTTTGTGACTTTTTCTCCAGATACCTACACCACTAAAATTTGAGACTTCTTCAGGTTTGGAACCTTGCCCCCTGCCTTTCTTTTATGCTATCTAATAAGTATCCTTACACAGAGGGAACCCCTCTCCAATCTTTTTGATCCTGGACTGGCTACAGATATTTGAATGTCATAAATGCATGGAAGTCGTGATTTCTCTTAAACGCCAACCCTGAACACTTTTTCACCTTTTACTATGTTCACCAAAATCTGTGTAAAGTCAGACATAATGCCTTATTTCTGGCCCTTAAGCCACAGTTGCAGAGAAATTGCCGAAGGCTTTTCTGGGTTGTGAGAGGATCCTTGGGCTGTGTTCTGTGCTCCACTCACTTGTATTCGAGGGACTTGAGATTAAAAACAGTCCTGCCTGGGCCAGGGATGTAGTCCAGTGGCACCGCACCTGCCTCTCAAGCACAAGGTCCTGAGTTCGATCCCTGGTACCAAAAGAAAGAAAAGAACAGTCCTGCCTGCCTGTCTGCCTGAAGTGAGCAGCTTCCCTTGCCCGATGGCCACTGCTGCCCTGTGCTCCAGATGAAGTCTGAGGTGCATTAGAATGGCGCACAGAGCTGGGGCCCCTGGAGGGAAACTGGTGGTGTAGGCCCTGCGGCTCAGGCTCTGCTTGGGCTGGTCCTGGGTGCCGAGCCTCCACTCACGGGTGTTCACTCAGTCCAGGGCGCCCCCACACTGCCCTCTGCCCAGGCCCATGCAGCTGTCTCGTCCCCTCGCCCAGGTCCACGGCTGGGGCCCCCAGCACTGGTTTGCACTGGCGCAGCCTCCGTCTCCTCCAGGCATGTTTGGCAGTGGTTTGCAGACGACCCAGTAAACTATCCCTTCTTAGCAGCACCGAGGTGCTGAGGCGGTAGCCTTGGGCAGAAATACTGGAAGAAAATACCCTTATCTCGACAGTTTTCGATGATGCTAGATTCTTTATGGGGGCATTTTCATGTCTTGAGTACCTTTTTACATTTAAAAATACGACGTGCAGTCCTCCAGATCATTGTAGAGCTCGAGATGCAGGGACCTTGTGGGGAGGTTGCTGAGCCGGAGCACCGGTCACGTTCACGTGGAGTCTCCACGGCCCGGCCCAGCCCTTGTCTTGTGCATGTTGCCTTGGGTGCCTCTGCATGCATTTGGGGGTACAATTCCTTCCCACTTTCTGGTTGCTACCATTTAATTTAAAAGAGACTTAACCATTTAAATTCCTCAGAACTGAGTTTTAGGTCCCAGGTTCTGCCTTTCAATGTTCTAAAATGCTGGACTCTCTTATACAATGCCAGAGAGAAAAGATCTTATGAGGAAAAAGGACACTTCTCCCCATATATGCAGCAATGAAACTGTGCTGTTTTCCCCCAAATCACACCCACAGTTGCACTAAACTCTTTTTAATTGCAGTAAAATGCATACGTTTACACCCTTGTGCAGCCGTCATACTTCCCGACTCCCCCAAGTGAAACTCTACCCCTTAAACTGTTCGCTCCGCTGGTGTTTCACTAAGCTCTTCACCAAATCAAGAAGGGGTCTGTTCCACAGAGAACAGAGAGCTTGCTTCAGTGACTTTCAGGACTGCTGTCTCCTAGAGCGAGGGGAGGAAGAGGGCCCCACTCTGCTTTGGTGCCTGCTATTGGGATGGCTTTAAAACCCGCTGAGACAGGTTTGCGGCAGGCGCTCCGGCGAACTGCCCAGCTGTCTGTGGCCTGCCACACTCTCAGGGTGGGCGCCCCACGTCTCCTGGTGGTCCCAAGTGCCTGGGAGGTCCTCATGCCCATGGGCGCCCTGCAGCTGCGGAGAGTCTGCATGACAGGTGCAGGCAGGAGGCACAGACCGGGAGGGGCGCTGCCACGTGTAGACCCCACACCCCACGGCAGCCACCTCAGGACTGGAAGCGGCTGGGTGCAGGTGACAGTGAGCGAGGTGTGGTGATCACGACCCAGGAGCTAGGTGAGCCCGTGACGCGACTGGACCCTCCCTTTGTGAGTCAGTCCTGTCTGTGCTTGGCCGGACTGTGTCCCTCGGTGCCAGCTGGATGGACCCTGGGCCAAGGGAGCGTGGTTGGCTGGCATCAGATGCACAGTCCTGGGATAGTTACATTGCTTCCGGCTGGCTATGGGCACCGACGGTCGTGCTGGGAGTGGTTTCTGCACACGAGCTTCCCAGCTGTAGCTCTCGGCTGTGGCCCGAGACCCAGACCCGGCCCCAGGAGCCAGGAGCGATCGGTCCCCTTCCCGGGGAACCACGTTCCTCTGAGCCGTCATCCCCGGAACAGGCCGTGTGGCTGCGGCGTCCCTGCTGGGAAGTGCTCCTCTTTGTCCTCCGTCCACCGCCTGGCACACTTGTTCCAAAACAGCCAAGTGGGTCCAGGTTAGTTCTGCCCTTGGGGTCTTAGGACACACCTTGTCTGTCCCCATGGCTGCAGCCCCGTGCCCACCCCAGGAAGGTGCAGAGCAGTGCTTGGCGCCAGACCTGCGAGTCCCACCTCCGTGCACAGAAGCCGTTCGTTCTTCACTATGCTCTTGAACAGAAGTGACGGTGGGGTTGAATTAAATCTAAAGGATTAGGCTGAAATGCTTTTTACTTTATGGCAAATAACTTTGTTACAACGTGTTGGAATATTGTACTGGATTTAGATTTTAGTTGATGCTCAGTCATAAAAGATCTCAATTATGAATGACTATATTTGTTTTGTTTTGTTTTTTGGTACCGGGGATTGAACTCGGGACCTTGCAGTTGTGAGGCAGGCAGGGTGCCACTGAGCTAAATCCCCAGCCCTCTGTATTTGTTTTGAACGTAAAATCTGACTCCTGCTTCTTCTTTCCACTGAGAACAAAGGTCGGCTGGAATTGCTGTGTGCATCTCCCCCGGCAGAGGGAAGGAGGCACAGAGCAGCATCACCTCAGAAATCCGGGGTCTTTGCTCAGTGCCTAGGTAGCCCGGTGAACTCTAGGAAGTAGACCCCAGGCCTCCTGGTGGAGGTTTTGGCCCTGAAATGTACACACAAGAATGACCATCATCATCTGGCTGTCAGCCTGCTGACATTTATAGACATAATAAAAACCAGGGCCCTCACAGGGAGAAGAGGGTTTCAGTGGATGTTTTAGAACAGGTACAGAACGGTAACAATTGATGGCTTTGCTAGTCTATCCTAAACAAATATGAAGTAATAATATTTAATAATTCAGGAGGGAACTGAACTAATAATCCCAGGGAATGGAGGGGCAGCCTGTGTTGACCATGCTCAGCGTCAGAACCGTAGCAGTCTTCCGGACCAGAGCTCTGCCCTTTCCTGGTGTCACAATTTGAGGCCGTCCACTAAGCAAGAGATGAGACAAGTACTAGCTCCCTTTGTGCTTAACCAGATGTCAGAGCAAGAAAAGGACCTTCTAGTTCTTGTTATGTGGAAAGTAGTCAAGTTTGAATTCACCAAGGAGGGCGAGGGAGGCTGGTTTTTCCTGTGCCTGCTACGAGAGATGGGAGCGAGCCGGAAGCGTTCACCTATGGGACGTGGTTTCCAGTGTCTCGTCCCTCTTTGTCTTCCCGGCTCACGGAATGGGTGAATTTGTTACTGGGCCTGTTCTGTGTCCATTTTTACATGGATATTCTGTATTTTTTAGAATCGAGGCAGAATATCCTTGCTGGCGTAAAAGCATCCACCTACCAGAGCACAACTCTAGTTTCTGTTATATACATTCCCAACCTCTGCTTCTTCACAGATGAGTTGTTAGGAAAGCTTTTGGTAGATCCTGGAGAGCTTTCTTACACTTAATTCCGCAGAACAAAAGCTGTTACTTTCTGTTTTTCCTCGCTTGGTTTGTTGACAGTGAGTCATTCCCCTACCTCTTCTCAGAAAATGTGCGCAGGATCATTTCTGTTCTCCCTTTTCCATCATTGTCTTCTGTTTGAATTTTGCTTTCTTACTGCCTAACTTTAAGAGCTTCAAATTTTCTGATATCCCAGAGGTACACATGTGAGGGGTGCACTTTGTCACGGACTGAAGGAAAGTTACAGTTCTACGACTCCGAGACAGAACATTTTGCCGGGCACTTGAATTCCTACTCTAGCCTGTTTAATTCATTTGATACATTCAAAATTGGGGCCAATTCCCCAGCCTTCATTTTTTTTTTTTTTATTTGGGGGGAGGCAAATTCTCCCTACAGTGCACGAACTGGCCTTAGACTTGTGATGGTCCTGCCTCAGCCCTCTGAGTAGGTGGGATTCACACCAGTCTTTGGACTGGTAAATGATCTGAGGCGTTTCCCAACCACTCTGGGTGATAACTTCCTGAGGTGTGCAGTTGAACTGAAAAGTGGGCAGTATCCCAAAAGTGACGTGCGTTGCTTGCTTACCATGTACGAAGAGAGCACATTGATTATCCTGTCAAATCTTCAGTGATCCAAGCCACTGTTGTTCATTATTCCCGTTTTATAAATGAGGAAACTAGAAAGCTACAAGGACAGGAGGCAGCTGACCCAAGGTCGGAGAGCAGGAAGCACCAGTGCAGCACTCTGGCCCTCTGCCGCCCCAGCTCCATCCGTCCCGCTCTGAGAACTGCTGTGTGACGGAGGCTCATCTGCCTTCTCTTCTCCCTTGTCCTGCAGGAGACACGATCTTCATCATTCTGAGGAAGCAGAAGCTGATCTTCCTACACTGGTACCACCACATCACTGTGCTCCTGTACTCCTGGTACTCCTACAAGGACATGGTGGCCGGAGGGGGTTGGTTTATGACCATGAACTACGGCGTGCACGCTGTCATGTACTCCTACTACGCCCTGCGGGCCGCGGGCTTCCGGGTGTCCCGAAAGTTCGCCATGTTCATCACCCTGTCCCAGATCACGCAGATGTTGATGGGCTGTGTCATTAACTACCTGGTCTTCTACTGGATGCAGCAGGACCAGTGTCACTCTCACTTCCAGAACATCTTCTGGTCCTCACTCATGTACCTCAGCTACCTTGTGCTCTTCTGCCATTTCTTCTTCGAGGCCTACATCGGCAAAATGAGGAAGAGCACCAAGGCTGAGTAGTGTGGAACTGAGGAGCAAGCCATAGCTCAGGGTCATCAAGAAAACTAACAGACAAAAGAACATGGCACAAGGAATCACACATGGTGCAGCTAAAACAAAACAAAACGGAACATAAGAGCAGACACAAACCCCGAGGCAGCTTAGGGATAATTAGGCCGACCTGACCCAGTAAGTTTATGATCCTTTGTGGGTGAGGACTCACTGAGGCGCCCCCGTCTCCAAGCACCGCTCTGGAAGACCCCACTCCCACCCCTTACCTGTCCGCTCTCTAAGACGAGCCACAGCGCGGAGAGCCGAGGCAGGAGATGCGGGAGGCAGGAACGGCTGTTAGCACTGCAGGACCACGTTTCTCTAAGGATGGAATTTCACTTTAAAGGCTGTGCGAACACATGCGTGCACACACACACTCACACACGATCCTTTCTAATCCCTTTCAACGCAAAATCAGAGCCAGTAGCAAAGACAGTGACGGAAGAGACACAGGGTCTGTATCTAGAACAATACTTCTGAAGAATTTCACGCCTGTTAAAAGGTTAGCTATTGGAGCTGTATGAGAGGTGTCTTAATCATTTTTTATTTCGTCTAGAAAATGGATTCATAAGTCCCCCTTGCCTCACAGGCTGGTGAGTCTGCCAAAACCACATGGGCTCCAGTACTTTTCCAGGGCAGTGGACACAGCCGGAGCATTCCTGTAACCCGCCTCTGACGTAAGATGGGAGGAGCATTGGTGTAATCACTCGTCCCAGACGTGCACAGAAGCGCACATGGAAGTGAGCAGGTGGAGGCTGCCTGAGGACCTGGACGGGACCACGCTGTCCTGGCACGCTCGGCCGCCTGGGCTGGGGAAGGCAAGCAGTGGGAGGGCACGCAGCAGACAGTACGTGCGCCCTGTCCTGTGCAACTTCACAGGCTCGCCATTCCTGATGCAGCCCCGTGGGACGTCTGTGTTTTCTGTATTTTTCTGAATTTCAAAAAGAAGTGTTTGTGTGTGTGTGTGTGTGTGTGTGTGTGTGTGTGTGTGTGCCCGCGTGCCCGCATGCAGCACCTGCCCCTCCCCAGCAGTGGAGAGACTGCAACCAACCCTCCCGGCCAGTCGGGCTGAAGACGGGGAAAGCCCGGTAGACCAGCCCTTCAAATTTTAAACCATATCAGACACCCATTCTTTGGCCAAATAAGAAGATTCCTTCCTGCTTCAAGTGAACTTCAAGAAAAATTTTAAAAAGGGACTTTTGCTCTGGAACTCAATCAATCGATTAAGAGCCATATTTTAAAAAAAACAAGCTAGATTATATTATCTATAATATTTCAGTCCTCCACAAGCCAAATAAATGTGTCAATGTTACTAGTATTTCAAAGAAGCAATTATGTAAAGTGTTCAGTGTGATACATAGTATTCTAATTGGGTAAGTAGGTTAATGATTAGGCAAATAGATGAAAAGACTACGGGCTTCTACTCTGCGTAGATCACACGTGCACACAGGTGGGGTTCAGTGAACCCCAGAGCCCAAATGCATAGGAACACATTTTCTGGCTAGCAGAAACTGTTTATCTTTATTTTGAGAGTGTACAACAAAAGGGATTTTTCAAATTATTTTTATATTTTAGCTTTCATTGTGCTGTCCTTCACGAAACACAGCGGCTCTGCTTTTCTGTCCAAGACGGCAAGAGCTTCATCAATATCTTGTTCATGTGTGGAATTTAAAAAATAAAGTTCTGTTCTGTGTGAACGGCTTGAGCCGTAAATAGTCCACGCAGACCGTGCAGTAACTCGAGAGGACAGGGACAGCTGTGGGAGGGCCGGTCACCTCCAGCCACACGGTCTGCATCGCAGTGCCCCCATGGGGTCCCACAGATGTGCTGTTACAGCGGCAAAGGCTGGACCTGACCTGCGGGTGAGTCCTGCTGCCACCATCAGATTCTTGGGGTGCAGAGTTCCTTTGAGTTTTATGGATCTCTGTTATTGCAATAAGCTTTCCCCCCTTATTTGTGGAAAATGAACAGAATAGTTAAAATGAAGAGAGGGCCATGTATCAGTTGGCTTGAGTTAATCGAGGGATCAGTTCGAGGCTCACCTGGTTGATTGAGTTTAATTATTCAATGCAGTGATTTCTCACAGTGTGCAGGTTAGAGCAGGGAGATCAGCATGAACCTGAAAAGACTCCAAAGTGATACTTCCAGGGCCGGGAGTGTAGTCAGTGGCACAGTACCTGCCCGGTAAAATGATGCTTGCAAAAAGCACTTTCATGCTTGTGTTCATTTGTAAAATGACTTAGAGTTGTGTTTACACATTGGATGTCTAATAGTTTTTAATTAGTTAACTATATCTGAAGGCATTTCCAATGTGTATCATGGGAGGAAGAAACAACATTTTTTTAAAAAAGTCTCGCATTGAAGGTTCTGTAACACAGTTTTTAACATCTTGGCTTCGCTGCTGTAATTATATGAAGATCGAGGCTGGCCCAGATCTGAGGCTGGCCCATGACCAATCTGAAACCTACCAGAAAGCTGACTGCCACACAGATCCCTGCTGTCGGGTAACATTCCAGAAAACCTTGGGCTGGCAGGTTTTTATAGCTGCCCCACTATGCCGCAATAGGTTGTCTTTCTATTAGAGATTTTCCATTGCATTCCAATCCCAGTAAGGTGAAAACATCATTCCTGGATCAAGTAAAATCCTTGATTTCCTATATACATAGATAGAAAATTTTGTGCACTGAGCTTAAACTGAAATGCATGAGTTTGCAAAGAAATTCAGTGAGAAATGCCCTCCTCACACTGCAGGGGGCTTTATCTGGACCATCCAGTGTTGCTTAGGAGAAAAGAACAACTGCTATTATTATTTATTTATTGTATTTATAGCCAATGCTGGGCCAAAGTACCAAATTGAAATCGTAGGTTAAGGTTACTATGCCAGGTAATTTATTCCCATTTTTTTCTAATCATACACACTACAGAAGTGAGGAATGGGGAGAACACACGCATATGTGTTGTGAGAAGAATGCTCTACCTGGAGAGGCCTGTTAGGGAATCCTTGTGGATTTCTGTTGAAGTGAATATAAGAACATGCACCTAGGAGAACACTTCTTGGAAGGAGGCGTCAGATTTGTTTTTTCGTCACATGGTGTCATAAAGCACCAAGCCGCGTACTGGGGTAGAAGGTTCCAAAAGTCTGGGCTCTTCCCAGACTGCAGAGTTCCTGGGAGAGGTGACATGCTCAGGTTGGTGGCACCATGTGTGTCCCAGTGAGTCAGCTGAACACACTCTGAGGGCTTTGTTTGCAGTTTGGACAATGATTCTTTAATGGCCTTGCTGGGATGGCCAAGCACAGAGTCCAGGGAGCTGCTAGGAGGGTGGAAAAAAACAAATGGGCTCGGCCTCCTCCCAGAGTTCTGAGCATTTGGGTCCCGTGATCATGGCCATGCTCATCGGCTTACACACTTACTTCCCTGGAAGAGTTTCCGTCCTGAAGAGTGACACTGAGTACACTGTGAGGCAGGCCTGGACTTTCCAGTAGGAAACGTACGTTTCTGCAGTCTTTCTGTCTTCGGTAATAAATATTTTGCTATTGACTTGGGATGACGGTAGAGCTCATTCCCACAGCTCCTCAGACGTCCTCTGTCCCCTTTATGTTTACAAACATCACCTGGTTCTTTGTGCCTCAGACTCATTGCCAGCAGGGAGGAACTTTGCTAAGAATGCCCCGGGGCATTTGACCTGTCCTGTGTGTGTGAAGGGACAGCTGAGGGTGCAAGGGTGGACAGCGAGTACGATGTGCTCAGTCTCAGCTGTGTAGTCCCATGGTGACAGCTGTGGCCACAGATACCTAGCTGAAGAGCCCAGATCCATGCACCGGAGGTGGTTCTTAAGATCACTGTCCTCCCCTCATTCTCTGGAAATCAGGGCTCCTGGAAGAGAGGGAAGCCCCTGGTCTCCTTGTGTTTGTTACCGACTGACAGCTGTTCTGGCAGTGTGGGGGACAGGGACAGCACACTCGGGTGTGGGAGGGCACAGAGCTGCACCTTGATTTCAGGTCAGGTAGGGAAGTCTCTCAGTCAGATCCCTATCACTTGAACTCCACACCAACAGCTGCACCGTCGTAACCTTCCAGAAGCAGCCGGTTCCATCACAGAAGCCAGTTCCCTGAATCGGGGTCCGATGACATGAGCAGCCCATTGCAAGGTCCTGACGTGTTGGAATTTAGGTGCTGCTGTTCTGCTGAAGTGTGGAGGCTCTTGGGACTTTTCCTCCCAGTGGACAGAAATGAAGCCTGCATAGGAAGTCAGGCAGTGCTTCCTGTCCTGTGGTCACGACCATTTCAGACTAGTCTGCTGTTCTGGGGGTGTCCAGGCTGCTTCCAGCACCCTGAGAACCGCCGGACTAGCGCCGAGGCCCCAAGTCTGTTCAGAGAGAGACCCGCCCAGCACAGCCTCGCAGAGCAGATCCCGGCTGTGTTGGAAATGTTATTTTCAAGTGCTTATCTCACAACATGAAAAGAAATATTTTTTTGGTGTATCAAGATTAAAAATAAAATCAGAACTTTTGATTTGAAATCAAATGGTGCCTCTGGCTTTTTTCATCACATATTCTGGGAGCTCCCACGGAGACACTCAGAGTGGCGGGCAGCTCGGACCCCTCGGGAGCATTGTGAAGTTCCTGTGCTCACCGCCTGCATGCACACAGACCTTTGGTGCCCTGGCAGGGATGACGTGGGCCACAAGCCTTAGAAGCAACTCAAGGAGTTGCCTGCACCTACTGGTCACATGCTCCCTGGTCCCAAAGTGATCTGGCTTCAGATCCAGCCAATACATCTGGTGGGGGCTTTTGAGGTTGGGGGGCTTACGTCACTCTCAGTGGCCCTTTGGAACCCCCAGACAGGCACCATAGTGCCTACCAAACCCAGGAACCCGGGGCATGGTTTCCCACAGCCAAGTGATATCTTTCTGCATCATCTGCAAATACTCTGTTAAGATGGAAATGTTTATTCCGTTTGCAATCTGCTTAACATTCACTCAGGGTAAAATGGGAGGGGGTCCATGCTGCACACAAAATATTTTTATTAACTGCAAAAAAGTGGGAGGAGGGGTCTAAGGCTTAGCAAGTGTTTCTGTTTTGGTGCTGAAGTCCCAGAAGCATACAAGTGACTGCCAGCTGTGTGGCCTCCGGTACATGTCTCAGGACTGAAGCTTCAGACGTGATTAAAACAGGCAAGGAAAACATGCAAACCCTTGTATCACAGTCTCACTTACAAAGATCCAAGGCCAAGAAGTATGTGGTGTGATTAAAAAGTAAGATGAATGTTTAAATTTTAAAAACATCATAGTGGAAGACATTGCTTGAATCTCTCCCCTACCCCAAAGGCTCCGCTCGCTGAGAACACACATCCTGCCCTTCTTGTCACTCTCCTAGGTCCTCTTGGGAGTGTCCTGTCCTGGCTGCCTTGATGTCACAAATCAGTTCAAAATGTTGACCTTTCATAGTCATTATGACTTTGGGGAAGAGCCAGAAGTCACGTGGCGCCAGAAGCAGCGGAAGGCTAGGTGTCAGCTGGAATGCAGCTTTCCGTGGGACAGCACTCAGCGGTGTTCACGGTGTTTTTCGTCACACCTTGTAGAACTACACGAGAGGTCTTTCAGAACTGCTTCAGAAAGTGGCAAAGGTGATGGGTTGAGTGCAGTCAGGCGATTTCTGAGGGGGATTAATGCTGTGTGTCTCACTGTAATGGTGTTTAGAGATTTAAAAATCCACTATTATTTTGATTGGTGAATTGAGGCCATTAACATTGATGATATGGGTTGATATCCTTGTCATGTTATTTTCCTGTTACTGGCTTTTTAATTTTTTTCTCTTCTCCCTTTAATTTCTTGCCTTGCCTGCTGGGTTTGCTCATGGAGTCATCCACTGTTATTGCGATCATGCCTCATATCATGCAGCAGCCTTCCCAGGAAAGAAAGCAGGAATAAGATCAGAATGCTGGCACTCCAGTGATGGCACTCTTGGCTGTTTGAGTTTTGTTTTTGTTTGGATTGTTTATTTATTTAATTTTGGTACCAGGCTCAAATTCAGGCCCTTGCACTTGTGAAGCAGGTGGCGGAACCACTGAGCTAAATCCCAGCCCTGGATATTTTTTTAGAATGAGTAAAGTTAATGGGGTGTCCTAAACCCATAATCAGAACAGACGCAGCAAGTCTCTTGTCAGACAGTTGAAATAACTAGCAGGGTTCCTCTCAGGTCTACCAGGAGCTGATTACATTCCAGGCCTCAGAGATCTAGGGCAGGATTCTGTAATTTCCAGACACCTCTTCCTAAACCGGTCTGGGAGACAAGTGAGCAAGATTTCCACTGTGTGTGTTACCCTTCAGCCCCCACAAAAATGACAGCTCAAATTCACCTGTGTGTAACATGTCACTGAGAGGTACAGGCACAGCGAGTGATGCCCTGAGACAGGCAGTTGGGCCCCACTGTGATCTGAAGGGGCCATTGTCTACCATCATTCTGTCTTGCTATAGTTTGGATCTGAGTGTGCCCCAGAGGCCCGTGGTTCCCCGCCCATGGCACTGGTGGGAGGCCCTTAGGTCACTGGGGGTTGGTCCTTGAAGGGCCTGTGAGAGCCTGGCCTGTTCTTTATGTGTGTTTCTTCTTAGCCTTGGGGTGAATGTTTTTGCTTCACCGTGAGCTCCTGTGGCCTCAGCACACATCCAAAGCAACGGGGCCAACCAGCCATGGACTGGTCCTTCCAAGACTGAGTCCAAACGAACCTTTGTCTTTATGAGTTGGTCGTCTCGGGTATTTGTTACAGTAGCAGAAAGCTGACTAAGACACCTTTTATAGTTTTATGTCTTTTTATACCCTCTGGTTTTCCTTGTTTTTCACTGAATAGTTGAAGGAAGGCCCCTTTGGAATTTTGCCACATTTACCCATGCATTGCAGAGTATGTAGTTATATGAAAAGGATCACCTACGTGCACACCAGCTGAAGAGTCCCCTCACGCTGCACGCCCCTTCCCTCTCCCTGCTGGATTTGGAATCTGGTGTTTTCAGCTCCCCAGGGTGGAAACTGTGTGCTACACTCAGGGCTTCACACACAGCGTCCTTTTCCATTGACTACACTAACTCTTTCGTGCTAGAGGGGGACTCTTGTCCTGAGTGTTTCTCTCCTGTTTTATTTATGAAAACTCCAGTGAGTGTTTCTTAAAGCAGCCAGTATCTACGAAAAGAAAGAAAACAGTGTTCATGGTGCCTGTGCTGAGCATAACGAGAAAACACCAGAACCCTTTGCAAGTGAGCACTTCCTCTCCAAACTCGAAGTGGCTCTAATTTCAGCTGAGTTTAAAATAATAAAATTGAAAGAACATAAATAAAAGCTCAGAACTTCCAGACTGACTCAGGCGGCCCAGCCAGCTCAGGTAGCCTGACTTTCCCGGGTGCCGCCAGCCTGTGGGGGGAGTTTTGACCTGGGCGCGGGACTCGTGCTGCACTGCCTGAGATCTGGCCAGGTCTTTGCATCTGTTTCTGGACATGGCCAGGAGAGAGGCCAGGCTCTGCAGCTGCACCCCACTGGTCCCTGAGATCCCTGTCACAGGACCAGGTCCAGCTGCTCCCACTTCTCAGGCTCATGTCCCTCTGCTCTGCGGTGGGTGACACACCTGTCCCTGGGAGACGCTCTGTGAAAGGCTGGCCCAACTCCACTAGGGACCCTGACTCATATCCAGGGCGAGGGACAGAGTGGGGTCTGTCTTCTCTGCCTCGTATGAGACAAGGCTCTTCCAGGCAGATGGGCTTCTGTGGCCACCACAGCAGTGCCCAGGCTGCCCGGCCGTAGTTGAGACCAGCAGGGATTGAGTTCCTTTTCTGGAAGCCCTGCTGTCCTGCAGGCTCCCCTCACCCACCCTCATCATAGGTGCAGACATCTTTGAGAACCACAGCTCAGCCCAGGCACCCAGTAACCTAGGCCAAGAGGTGGGACTCCAGCTGCAGGCTGGAGTCAAGCTCTGCCTGGCCCCACCAAGCTCCAGCCCTTGCCTGGTGCAGCCAGCCCTGTCAGACGTGCAGAACCTGAAAGCAGACCCAGGGAGCTTTGTACAGCTCTAGCGAGGATCAGACAGGGTCCTCTGGAGAGGTGTTCAGAGGCACTGACAGTCCGACTCCGAGTGGTCACCATAACAGTTGCTGATCTGGAAGAAGCTGAAGGTGTGCTTTTGGCACGGAGTCGGCACGACCGTGGCTCCCATCTGAGGACACAAGATTGGGAACGAAAATGGAATTCTTGGTGGCGGCTCCACACTGGATGTGTTAGGATGTGGCCGTGTAGGTGAGAGTGGGAATGGTACTGTATGAAAAGAAACGGAGGGGTTTGATTATCTGCTGCACTCAGAAGGGAAAATCCACATGGGCTTCAGAGAGGCCGGCGTTCTGCTCCGTGAGCATGGGAGGCGAGGCCGATGGCTGACAGATACTGGATAAGAAGGCCTGGCTCTAAGGCAGACCCTGGCCCTGGGCATCACAGTCACAGACCTGGCAAGAGGGGAGCCGCTGCACCCGCACCTGCCCAGAACCCTCCTCCTCCGAAGGACAAGGCCTGGCACTGGAAGGCAACTGTGGCAGCCCCTCGGGGTTCAAGGAGGCACCATGCAGAGCTCCCTATGTGTTTTTCTCCAATGTGTTGGCACCTACTTTGATAATAACTGCTATCATTCTGTCATATCTTCCATATACATTAAAATTGTTTTGCTTTTTTTCTCTCTCTTTTGGTACTGGGGATCAAACATTGGACCTTGCACTTGTGGAGCAGGAAGTGGCACCACTGAGCTAAATCCCTGGCCCTAAAATTATTTTGCTTTTTGAAAATGTGCTCTTCATCAACTAAGGCGATCTGGGCACCCAGAAGTGTCATTTATGTAGATGGTGTAGATAAGCCCTTGATTCTTTGTTTAAGTTACCAACTTGCGGGATATTAATTTGATGCTCCAGCTGCCTCTGGCAGTGGGAGGCTTGAGGGTTCCTTTCTTTCAGTCTCCCCTTTTCTCGCTGC